AAAAAAAATTACTGAATACAAATTAAAAAAGAAAAGAAATGTACTCATTATCTTGCCCATGTAATTATAACTCCTCTACAGTATTTTCACAATAAAAAAAATATGTTGTAGAAAATATTAGAGAATTACTTAATTTGGGGCTGGAAATGTGGCTTAGGGGTAGAGTGCTTGCCTAGCATGAATGAAGCCCTGGGTTCAATTCCTCATATAAACAGAAAAAGCCAGAAATGGCTTTGTGGCTCAAGAGGTAGAGTGCTAGCCTTAAGCAAAAGAATTTGCTCAGGGACAGTCCCAGGCCCTGAGTTTAAGCCCCAGGTCTGGCCAAAAAAAAAAAAAAAAAAAAACCTAATTTCAATTTTATTATAGTTGAAAATGTTTTTTATAGAATAGGTAAACATAATTCACAAACTTTGTGTTCTAGATTTTTCTTTTTTATTACTTTATTTTATGATCTATTTCCAATGAATGTTCGTTTCTAATGAAAATTTTTTAAGATCAAAAAGGAAATCATAACCCAGATGTTTATATCTCTTATGGATCTATTATCTGTTAGAATTAGCTTTGTATTCTTTTACCCAGATAAGCTTGTTTGATCTCTATTTTGCTTTGCTGTTACTTAAAATGTCTTGATTTACTCAGAATCTTCTATGCCACTGAATCGAAGGAGCTCTGGCCGACAGGGAGGAGTTCATGAATTGTCTGCTTTTGAACAGCTTGTTGTAGAATTGGTACGACATGATGACAGCTGGCCTTTTTTGAAACTTGTTTCTAAAATCCAGGTAATAACATACCTTATAAAAATGTGTTTGTGGAGCTGGGATGGTGGCTCAGTGGTGGAGTGCTTGCCTTGCATGCATGAGGCCCTGGGTTCCATTCCTCAGTACCACATAAGCAGAAAAAGCCAGAAATGGTGCCGTGGCTCAAGTAGTAGAGTGCTAGCCTTGAGCTGAAGAGTTGAGGGACAGCGCCCAGCTGGGCCCAGAGTTCAGCTACCATGACCGACAAAAAAGAAATTGTGTTTGTATATAATAGCCTGATTTAGTCTATGACAACTTTGAAATTGTCAAAGCTTCTGTTATCCATTGTCTGTTTTTAAAAGTATACACTTAGAAGGTTGGTATTTGTACTGAAAAGTGTGTAGTTAGACAACATGATCTCTTCAGTCCCATCTAATCTTGTGACTGAGGCTTTATAAATGATGCTTTTTGATTGTTTTATGTAATAAATATATAGTTAATTCAGCTTGATACCATTAGTGATATTTCTCTTGTACCCAGCAGTGCTTCTCAAACTTCAGTGAACATGAGAATCATTTGGAGAGCTTGTTAAGTTAATTCTGACATTTCTGATTACAGGCTCACATCTGTGATCCTATCTACTAAGGAGGAGATCTGAGTGTCTCAGTTCAAAGCCAGTCCAGGCAGAAAAGTCCCCATGAGACTCTTAGCTCCAATACACCACTTAAAATCTGAAGTGAAGCTGTGACTCAAAGTGATAGAGCAACTAGCTTTGAGCAAAAGAGCTCAGAGACAGCTCCCAGAGTTTAAGCCTTGTTGCCCACTGCCGCCTTCCCTCCCCACCCCCCCAAAAAAAAAGATATTTCTGAGACCCGTTCTGGGGTTTTTGATATACTAGATCTAGATTGCTGGCCAACTTTTTTTTTTTTTTGGCCAGTCTTAGGGATTGAACTAAGGGCCTGGGCACTGTCTCTGAGCTTCTTTTTGCTCAAGACTAGCATTCTAGCTTTGAGCCACAGTGCCACTTGCAGCTCAGTTCTGGCTTTTTCTGTGTATGTGGTACCAAGTAATTGAATCCAGGGCTTAATGCATGCTAGGCAAGCACTCTACCACTGAGCCACATTCCCAGCCCCGCCACTTGCATTTCTGAGAAGGTATTAATATAAAATATAGGTGCTCTTAGCTAGCATGAATGGCCTAGCCATACTCAGGAATGCACAGTGCCTGCTGTCTACAGAGCTGTACTGGCAGTTGTAATGATGGTGCGGATGCAGAAGGACTGGACGTTGATTTGAGAAGAAAATATCAGGAATTAAAAAGTGTTTCATGGGGGCTGGGAAGGTGGCTCCGTTGTAGAGCGCTTGCCTTGCATGCATGAGGCCCTGGGTTCGATTCCTCAGCACCACATAAGCAAAAAAGAAAAAAGCTGGCAGTGGTGCTGTGGCTCAAGTGGTAGAGCACTAGCCTTGAGCTGAAAAGCTGAGGGACAGCGTTCAGGCCCAGAGTTCAGGCCCACGACCAGACCCAAAAAATAAAAATAAATAAATAAATAAAGCTTTTTTTTAAAAAAAAAGTGTTTCATGAACTAGCTATTAGGAGTGGTTGTTCAAAAAAGAATAACAGTTTCAGTGGTGAGAGGTGGAATAGGGCATTTTAGGAAAAGGGGGCTATAGATTAAACACCCAAAAATGAGAATGTGGGCACTAGTGGGTAGCTTGAAGTTAAAGCTCAGGCATGATTGTATTGTAAAGGACCTCATTTGTCCATGTAGTGAGGCTTTCTGAGTAAAAAAGTGATGTCAGAATTCTACTTTGCAATTTCTGAATTAAGAATTTAAAGGATTAGTTAATATTGAATAGTTTAGCAAAAAATGATAGAGCGCTGGCCTTGAGCAAAAAAACTCAAGGACAATGCCCAGGCTCTGAGTTCAAACCTCATGACTAATAAAAAGAAAAATCCTCATAGGTTGTTTTTGTTTTAAAAGTTTTATCACATGCATTCTGTTCCTTATTACAAACTCAGTAATGTTCATTTAAAATATATATATGAATGCATGCATTTTTTTTAGATGTATAAGTCCAAAAATTTCTCTACCTAGTGAAACCCAGGGATCTGCCTCAGCCTTCTGAGTTCTGGGATTACATCCAGTATTTTACAGCATTATAATGACTGAAATTTATGGAATAATAGCATTCAAAAGTTAATATTAAGTTGCTTTTCAAGTATAAAATCTTTATTACTTAACCTTGCATTTTCAATAAACTTTTTAAGTATGGCAAGATATAACTGGAATTATTTTACAGGTTCCGGACTACTACGACATCATTAAAAAACCTATTGCCTTAAATATAATTCGAGAAAAAGTGAACAAATGTGAATATAAATTAGCATGTAAGTAATTTGTTTTTTTTGATTTTTGTTGTTTAGGAGGTATAGAAGCTGATATGGAGTTAGTTTAGGTGGCATTCCCAGAATCCATAAAATGCTTATCCAGAAATGAAAGATGGTTTAGGACTGAATAAGTTAATATTCTGTAGAATCTGGTCTTATCAGCAAAGTGTTTTGAGCCTGGAGCTAATGCCTATAATACTAGCTACTCAGAGGCTGAGATCTGAGGATAGGCAGACAATCTGATACTTTCATCTCCTATTAACTGGCAGAATGCTGGAAATTGAGGAGGTGTGGTGGCTCAAGCAGTAGAAGCACCAGTCTTGATGGAAAAAACCAGGCCAGGATCATGAGGCCCTGAGTTAAAGCCCAAGTATTGGCACCCAAGAAAAGAAAGAAAAAGGAAGAAAGGAAGGGAGGGAGGGAGGAAGGAAGGAAGGAAAGGACAGACAAAAGGATTTTCTTGGGCTGGAGTGTGGTTTAGTGGTAGAGTGTTTGCCTTGCATGTATGAAGCCCTGTGTTCGATTCCTTAGTACCACATACACAGAAAAAGCCGGAAATGGCAATGTGGCTCAAGTGATAGAGTGCTAGCCTTGAGCAAAAAAAAAAAAGTAGTAGTTCAGGGACAGTGCTCAGGTCCAGAGTTCAAGCCCCAGGACTGACAAAAAAAATTTTAAAAAATAATAATAATAAAAGGATTTTCTTATAATTACATAGTATATAATTGTATATGTCCAATAAGAATTTTAAATTTTTATATTTAAACAATTATAAACACCAATTCTGTCTTCATTCTTTTTGAGGGGTGGGCTAACTTTAAAAAATAAACAAAAACGACTTTTGAATTTTCAGGGCTTCATGCTTCGTATGCAGGCACTTGACCAGTTGGACCTCACTCTTCCCATTTACACTTACTACTGTAGCTGGGATGATAGGTATATTCCACCAACACCTCGCTTTTTTTGTTGAGGTGATGCATTGCAAAGTTTTTTCCCCCAGGCTGGCCTGAAACTAAATTTTTCTGATCGTGGCAATCCATGACAAACATATACCACCACTGTTGGTTGGGACAGCGTCTCACAAACTTTTCCCCAATGAAAACATTTGAGGATAGTTTCAAACCACTATCGTCCCAATCCCCACCTCTAGAGTAGCATGGATTATAGGCATGAACCACTTGCTCGCCACTCTTTCTTTTAAAAAATGAAGGGAAGGGGAGAAGAGTTTCAATTTTCTTAATGAAGTTGGAAGATATACAGATTGTCTTTATGAAGTGTATTTTTTCATTCTAATCTTGTTTGTTCTTTTTCTTTCTAGCTGAGTTTATTGATGATATTGAGTTAATGTTTTCAAACTGCTTTGAGTACAACCCTCGTAACACAAGTGAAGCAAAAGCTGGAACTAGGCTTCAAGCATTTTTTCATGTTCAAGCTCAAAAGCTTGGACTCCATGTGGCACCGAGCAATGTGGACCAAGTTAGCATACCACCAACTGCCAAAAAGTCACGGATCTAATTTTGCCCTTCTAGAGTGTATGATGCCTTTGTGAAAAAAACAAATTGTTCATGAAAATGGAACCTTAAATCATGCTCTTAAGCAGACATTTATGCATAATGCAATAACAACTGATTGACCACATTGAGATGTGGCCTGCACTATATTCTCAACTTTGATATTAAGCACTCAGGAGAATGTAGGAAAGACTTCCTTTGCTACAGTTTTGTTTAGTATCTAATAAGTTTGATAGATGTATTGGATAATAGTACTGGTTTACAGAGGCTTTTGTACATTTTGAGATCAATTCATGTGTCCAGATACTTGGAAAATATTTTTTCAGCTATGATTTGACACTGAAATTTTTTTAGAAGTTGTAGTATTAAGGGGGATTTGTCTCTACAGACAAGTCCACTAGAGCACACACAGTTTAGAAACATGTTTCTGTGTCTTAAGAATCAGAAAGGATACATTGTTTCAACACTAGATATGAATGAGCCCGATTTTCTATTCTTGAAGTGCTATACCAGTGCTGGCTGGAGGTATTAAGTTGGAGTTTATTAACTAGATATTTATTTAGCATCCAGAGTAATTTGTGAATTTGTTTTATATTTATAAATTTATACTTGGAAAATGTTCTTTAATTTTTTAAACAATTTACTGTGTTTTTTGTTTATCTGGATAACTTTCTTAATGATCAATAAAAAATGGTATCACCTTCCCTTTCCCCTGGCAGTTTTATAGAACTGTATTAAGAGTTTTTATGTACAACTTTTTAAGTGTACAAATAAAAATAATGCTTTTTTTTTTCAAGTATTTGGCATTTCTGGAATTTTTACCCATGAAATCTATACTTCTGCTTTCGATATACCCAAGTCATAGGAAGGGATGCTGGCTAGTCTTGTCTCCAAGTATCCCCATACCCTGGAGAAGGTAGCTCTAAACGGTGGCATTCTTGCAGAGTCTCACTAACGGGAGGAAAGGCAAGGAATCCATGCATCCAGTTAAGAAGTACTGTGGAGGGCACTGGGAAAGTGGCTCATTGGTACAGTGCTTGCCTCGTGTGCATGAGGCAAAAGCTGGACTGGCGGGATGGCTCAAATAGTAGAGCACAGCCAAACAACCAAACCCAAGGTCCCAAATTCAGACCCTAGAACTGCTGGGGTCAGAGGGGGGTGGGGGAGGAAAGAAACATTCCACCAATCTAGACCACTTTTTGGAAGGAAATGAACAAATCAAGAATTTAAAAAAATATATTTGGAAATCCACAAAGAGAATCATAACTCCAAGTCTGAGTTGAACAACTTGGTAACATCTGGTAGAATAAAGTATGTTCAGAGTTCACATGTGTTAGAAATTCTAGCAGATCAAAGACTTAGTTTGAACTCTTTCCAAGTAGACCTAAGAACATCTGCCACTCCCCCCAAGCAGAAGGAGCTCTTGGTCTTTTTAAGTATGCATGTTATTTTGAAATTCCAAAGGCAAAATCTTTATTTTTGGCACTCCTTTTTAAATTTTTACATATATATGTGTATATATATATATATGTTTTGAAATACGCATAACATTACAGATAGACTAAAAGGAGCTAATTAACATTACCTCATATTTTTGTGATGAGAACACTCCAAATCTAATAGTGATTGTTGAGAATATAGTATTAACTTTAGTTACTACGTTGTACATTGAACTCTTAAATCTATTTCTTCTAATGGAAACTAACTATAGTTCTCATTTGCCTCAGGTTTTTTTTTTTATTTTGCCTTATATCCAAAAAAACTTGTTTTTTTTTAAGGATAACCAAAAGTTTATAAATCTTTTTAAAAATATAATTTTAGTGTTTTTTTGTGAAAATACTGTACAAAGGGGTTACGTGGGCAAGATAATGAGTACATTTCTTATCAAGCATTGTAGCCTCCTTTGTTTCCCCCTCCCATCCCTTCCCATTCTCCCCCCCCCAGTCAAATCTTCCCCCCCAATTTTAGTGTTATTAAGGTATTATATGGAGGGGTTACCATTTCATAGTCCAGTAATGAGTACTTTTTCTTTTTTTTTGGTCGGTCGTGGGGCTTGAACTCTGGGCCTGGGCACTGTCCCTCAGCTCTTCAGCTCAAGGCGAGCGCTCTACCACTTGAGCTACAGCACCACTTCC